CTTAACAAATTGCCTCACATTATCCATTCCAGAGACCATGCCCAGATAACCTATTGACTAACACCACCCCAAGTGATAAGTTAAACAAGATGTGGATTACAAGAGCAACCATTACACTGGAATAAGGACCAATCAAAATGCAAGAATAAGGGCCAATGGGGAAGTAGGATAGGGGATGAGGCACGCAAATGGTGTACAGTACTGCCACCTGACCCCTATACAATCCAGCGCTATACCCCTAATGTTGTCCGCTTCCTCAAATCATGGGGTGACTGTTTGATCATAAAAACTATGGATAGCCTTGAGAAAAATGGGAATTCCAAACACTTTACTGTGCTCATGTAGAACTTTTACTTGGATCAACAGGCAGTTGTGTGAACAGAACAAGTGAATACTGCATGGTTTAAAATCAGGAAAAGGGTGTCAGGGTTGTAGCCTTTTACTATTTTTACTCAGTCTGTATGCTGAGTGAACAATTAGTGAAGCTGGCTTATATAAAGATGAATGTGACATCAGGATTGGAGGAAGGCTTATTAACAACCTACTATATGCAGATCACACAACCTTACTTGCTGAGAGTAAGGAGGACTTGAAGTATGTGGAATACAGAAAGGTTATCCCGCAGATTGTCCCCCCATATTATATGCCAAACCTAAGACACTGCTTGCTATACATAGTCAATTGACTATACCAGCGGTTCTCTGTGGGCCGTAACCCCTGTGGGGGTTGAATGACACTTTCACAGGGGTCACCTACGCCCATCGGAAAACATATTTCTGATGGTCTTAGGAACTGAAACACTGCACCTCTATCCATCTCCAGGTGAGTCCACCCACATGCAGATACACCACATATGAGTAGTTGGCGTGAAGGCTGTTACCCATGCTACACCATGCTTCAAGACAAAATTTCATTTATTTGTCATTAGAAATAAGTATTTCACAGTATATAAGTACATATTAGTTTTGTGATTAATCACTATGCTTTAATTATGTTCAAGTCATAACAATGAAAATACATCCTGCATATCAGATATTTACATTGATTCAGAACAGTAGCAAAATTAGTTATGAAGTAGTAATGAAAATAATTTCATGGCTGGGGGTCACCACAACATGAGGAATTGTATTAAAGGGTCTCGGCATTAGGAAGTTTGAGAACCAGTGAAACAGAGGCACTTAATCCAATTTGAGGTCCTTTATGAAACACCGCCCTGTCCCATGCCATACACAAAATTAGCATGAGCTTATCGCTGCAGCCACTGTCATTCTATCTAGTCTTCCTTATTTTGCTGACCCCCTAGTTTAACAAGCTGGATGTCTGTTTCCAGATTGGTCTCTGGTAGCATGTGCATCCTCACTTCTAAGGAGCATTCTGCCTGCACTTGGAAGACAGATTTGTTTGTTCTTCTGACAGCCCACCTTGTATTTAGTATTCTTTGCCAGCACCACAGTTCAAATGTATCAGTTCGTCTGCAGGCTTCCTTCCCCATTGTTCCACTTTCACAGGAAGTTGAGGCAACTGAAAATATTGTGGCTTGGGTCAGGTGCATCTTCATTTTCAAAGTGATATCCTTTTTCTTTAACACTTTAAAAGAGGTCTTATGCAGATTTGCCCAGTGCAATGTGCCTTTTGATCACTTTTCTGCTGCTTCCACTAGCAGTTATTAGGTTAATACCTAATCAAATAGTTCCTTTCGTATCGAGGGGTTGGATTGTGCTTGTAATCTATTGATGCTGTACAGCACTGGACTGGTAGAAGTGTAGGAACGGGAGATCATTGCAAATGCATTGTGAAGTACCTCTTTTGTTGGTACCTCTGTTGTTGCACTCCATTCCTTCCAAATTCATGTTGGAACACTGAAAAGTTTGAGAACTGAATATATTTTTCTCATAAGAAATAATAGAAAACCAAATAATTGGTTCTGAGGACCAAAAATTGTACTTATTTGTGGGGGTAGCCAACACCCCACAACTAATTATGGGTTCGGAAGTCACAATTGTACGGTTAAGATATATAAAGATAAGGTGGGGGGAATGTGGGGTGGAAGAGGGTAACCAATTACAAGAATCTAGGTATGGCCTCCTCCCTGGGGGATGGACAGTAGAGAAGAGGGTGGAGGGAGACGTCGGACAGTGTAACTTATGACAAAACTATAATAATTTATGAATTATGAAGGGCTCGTGGGGGAGGGGAGGGAGGGGGGAAATGAGCAAATGATATTAAGGGCTAAAGTGGAAGGCAGGTGTTTTGAGATTGATGAGGGCAACAAATGTACATATGTGCTTGACACAATGGATCGATGTATGGACTGTGATGGGAATTTTATGAGCCCTCAATAAAATAATTTTTTAAAAAGATATATAAAGTTGTAGAGAAATGGGAGAGTAAAATAAAGAAATCAGACACATTTCATAGTAGCATGCTCACCTCAGCTATTGGTGGTATACATGGAGGTGGGGGACAAGCGGGCAGGAGAGAGCATGAGGTTTTATTTCTAACCAAACTTATAGATCTTTGGGGGCATGCATGCCCTCTGATTACAGATAACAATCTACATCATAGGATGGGGTTGTAACATAGGCAATATGAGTAATAGGAGGTGGATGACCTAGGGGCGTACATGCGATAGTAAAGGGAGGGAATATGAGTACATGTGGCAAGATGAGTGGACCCTAGACTCATAGTAGCCTAACCTTGGTCACCCTTGAGTGGGCTTGACTTTCCTGGGCTCTCCTTCAGAGAAAGAATCTACTATCCTTATCAGAAGGGAGTGGGACAGACTATAGTGTGGATTGCTCTAGATGGGTGATGACCCTTAGGGAGGATAAACTCTGACCTACTTTCGCTGACCTCCAAGTGCTTACCATGTGTTGCAAGCAGCTAAGTTTCATCGTTAGGCTGCCATCTTGACGTGAGTCTGCCCATCTTGTCGCATGTATACCCTAGTGCCTCCCTTTCCTATTGCGTGTACACCCCTAGCTCATCCACCTCCTATTGCACATGTGCCTATTGTAAAACCCCTTCCTGTTATGGTGTAATCAGGGGGCTTGCACGTCCACTAGCATACATAAGCCTTGATTAGATGCTTAAGCACTCTCTTCCCGAACTTGGCTGCTGAAATCATGGCCATCTGGGTGGTGAGCAGTTGCATGCTTTATTTTGTCTGATGTCTCTTTATTTTACCCCCAATTACACAACCGCCCCTTGTATCCGTTCGATTATGGGGGCTGGTACCCCATAGGCTCCCCAATGAAAGATGAAATTGTTTATACCTGTAAAGATTTATAGCCTCAAACACAAACAAGCAATTCTACTTTCTGTTGTTAAAAGGATGGCTGAGTTGGATATCCAAATGTACATGAGAAGAAATTTTGCCATCCTTGCCTCTGAGAAGCATTCTGGCTTCCAAGACAGGCTTATTTGTTCTTCTGCCAGTTCATGAGAATTTCACCACCCTTTGCCAAAACCTTAACTCAAATACATCAATTTTTTTCTACATCTTCCTTCATTGTGCAGCTTTCAGATATATAGAAGATGAATGCAAAAAACCCCAAAAACCCACGGCATGGCTCAGGTGCATCTTAGACATCTTTGCTCTTTAACACTTCAGAGTTCTTGTGCATGCAGTAGATTTGTCCAATATTTCTTGACTGTTCCTTCCATGAGTGCTTATTGTGGATATAAGTAAAGTGAGATCCTTGACAACTTCAATATTTTCATTTATCATGACGTAGTCTATTAGTCCAGTTGTAGAATTTTGGTTAACATTTGAGTTGTAATGCATATTGCAGACTGTATTCTTTAATCTTCAGTAGTAAGTGTGAAGAGGAGAGTTGGAGTCAACCCACAAATATATATAGATTTGACAGATTATATTAGCTGTACATAAATGCATTTGCAGCAAATATATTCATGGATGTGGTAGAAGAGACGGGAAAAGTCACGGAAACTTCTCAGGCGTGAGCAAATAGCTTGAGGGAATACGTTGCTATGCCTGGGTTTTAAGGGTACAGTGTCGGGTGATACCAAGGTTAGCTAGAGTTAGCATAGTCCACAAATACTATATTCTACTTTGGTGCATAGCAACTGGGATCTTAAAAGTGAGTGATGGGATCATGAGTGACGATATAAGGTGCAACTATTAGCCTCTCCCTTTCAGTTGGAAAGATGAGTGATGGAAATCAAATAGATGGGAAACAATTAGTTCAATGGACTAATGAACCTCACAAATATCAGTCATCGTCACCACAGAAAAAGACTAGAGCTAGGTGCCTGGTTACCAACTATTAGAAGATCCTGGACCTAGGGCAAGGAAAATACGAAGAAAAATTCAGAATCACAAAAAAAGACCAGGCTTATTGATTAGATAGAGACTAGTAGAACCGCTGAGAATATGGCCCTTAGACACTCTTAAAAGTCTAGAATGAATTGATTCCAATGGATCAATTTTTTAAGTTAGGCTCGTCCATAAAGGGAAACTATAACTCTCGTGAGGTACTCTTATATTGACATAAATAACCATTTGATACCTAAAAGGCAGTATTCAACCAAAGAAACAGTTCAGCAGGGTTAGGGAAGGAAGGACAGAAACAGTTAACACCGGGAAGAAGGGGAAGAAGTGAAGTTACACCGAGGGGACTGCAAGAATGAAACAAAATATATGAATGTAAACCACCCAATGCACAAAAAGTTAATAAAATACAATAAAAACAATTTAACTACTGAACATGAAAAAATTCATTTTTTTGGTACAGGGTATTTTAATTTTAATAACTTAATAAAAAAGATTATGAATAGATATGATTCTTAGAATTACAGTGAAAAATTAATTTAAATTTTTGGTTCTTATTTTATATTTACATTTTCTGAGGCATCCTTAATAATAAAAATGAATGGGTAATTTATGCATGTCAAAATAAAACATAACACTCCTTCCTAGTAACCCTACCCAATCAAAATAAAGTACCAAACCTTTGTAGAAAGAATACAGACTGATAAGTATTCAACAGATAATTTTATCTTAGTTTCTTTTCATAATATGCACATGAAATGAGACGGTATACAAGGCTGATCAAAGGCTACGTACATATTATTAGAGTCATATAAAAATCATTTAAGGCAAGCTTTATTATTTTATTTTAAATAAGGAATATGAAATGTGGCCTCACAATCAAACAAGCTGTTTAGGTAATTCCTGGTAGTTGTATAATGGGAATTATGAATATAAAATGTTTAACTTTTACTGTATAAACCAAAAGCAAATGCTATTCATATTGCAGGAAAGCGAGCAACTCTTACACAACATCATTACATTTACAATGTCACTGGCAAGTAATCTGGTAGCATATAAAGCCAATGTAAAATTTCCCCAATGTAGAATTTTGAACATTTTCATTACTTGTATGTCACTTTTCTGTCACTGGAAAAATATCCTAATAACAGGAATTTTTTGAAACTTCAAGTTTGAAACCTCAAAATAACAAAAGAATGTATTTTTTTTGGTTCATGTACTATAAGTATATTGATACTGAGGAGAATGAATACTTTATATGAAACAAATCTTTTTGACAAAAAGTTTTAAGCTAAATCATAGTACAAAAGTAATATTAAAAGCTAGAATTACATAGGTCTGCATAAAAACACTGATTTTCAAATTCTCATTGGAAAAAAATCTTAAAAGCCTTTTTTTCTCCTGGAGCTTAAATAGTGAATGATGTTCTAGTATGCAAAAATGAACCACATTTTCTTTTTTTTTTTTTAAACATTTTATTAGGGGCTCATACAACTGTTATGAACCACATTTTCTATGGAGACTTCCTTAATTGTTAAACTTGCCAATATGCTCACGGGCTATAATAAGCCTTTGAATTTGTGCAGTGCCTTCATAAATCTGTAAGACAAAAACATAAATGTATGTAAAATGCATTCAGAAGATTAAGCAATTTATACAGATTTACTCAATATCTTTGAAAATACTATCAGCCCATTGAATTTTCAAACTCTATATACTGCCTGTAGTTTACAGTGAATCAAATTCCTGGTTTCCTTATAGATGAAACTATTATAGAAAGTCTTATCAAGATATTTATCCAACTTTTCTGAACTGTTCTTTGCTACTTGTCACTTCTATCCATTTTCTATTCTTATCTTTGGGTATGAGTTTTTAATTCTTGCCACCCGAAGAAGAGAATAATTGCTAAAGATGCAGGATGTATTAATTTTTGGTCCTTTAGATATTCTCAGTAGCTAGCCCACATTTCCAGTTTCTACTTCTAGCCTTAACTATTTGTTAGATCATTTTTACAGATGGCAGAAAATTAGTAAAGAGCTGATAATAATAGTACTATTATAATACTTAATATTAGATACTTCATAAGAATATCAGCAGAAAAACCTGTAACTTGGCAAGAGACAGATTCTGGTCCTCCGTGTGTTCTCATGCTTAAGTGGAGGGGCTGCACGTGGAGCTGGTCGCAGAACTGCCCAGATGTGTGTGCATAGCACAGTGGGGAAGCACAGGCAGGGAAGCGGCACTGAGGAGTGTGGTCCTTTCTCCACGGTTTTGTAAGCCGGCGATAGAATTAGAAGACAGTCTTCTGTACCACTGCCTCCCCCTCTCACTGGTTTCCGGCTCCCAGTAGAGTTTATTGAAATCAAGATGATTTGGCTAATTTAAACTTTCATTTTAAACAGCAGGCAGAGTTTCAGTAGAGCAAAGGATGTGTTGTAATGAACTTGGACATGAAAGCAAAATGGCTCACCCAGAAACACTGAATATGACAGTACTGTTTAGTTTGGCTATTTTACTTTAGGTCATATACTGAAAAAGTTAAGGTACATGCTGAAAAAGTAATATTCTTGTCAGTACTTATTAATTTTAAAAACTTATCACACACAGCCATCTATAAAGTTACTGAGTTATTTTTCCAAATAGTAAAAAATCTCCAATAACCAGAAATTAACTTGGTTTATTAATGTATTTTTTAATTATTTCTTCTCTTTTGTTGTGAACTGACTGGTTTACAGAGTAAATCTGTTTTCTATTCAATAATTCATACCCACTTTTTCATGTTATTGACTGTGATGCCCACAATGTAATGTCACGTATCTTACTTCCTGTTTCCATTCTTCCTTCTTCCCTAACCCTTGTTGAGAGTTAAGGTTTATTGTGCCAACCTGGCTGCTAAACACATGTGGGATTAATTGAAGGGCAGTTTAATTAAAAGGTGTAGAGATAAATGGCTTGGCGAGCCACACCTTTCTTGTTCTCTGGTCTCTTGCTCTCTTGCTGGTCGGACTAGTGTGCGGCTGCCTTAGCTGGCAAGGCTCACTTTCTGCGAGACATCCCTGAGAAGCCACGTGGACCTACTCTGATGCAGCCCTGGGTGCTGGAAAAGCTGCATAGAGACCCCTGCCAGTGCTGAGATACTTACACCGCCACTGGATTCAAAGACTTCCTACCCACTGGCTTGTGATTGTTCTGTATTCGGCGTCATTGCGTGTGTTTTGTGAGTCTGAGGACTTTGTAGATTGGTGTCGGACACAGGGGTTGAAGTTGGACTTATGGGCTTGGACTGGCCTGGGTTGGGATGCTTTCTTAATGTACAGTTAACCTTTATGTAAAACTCTCTCTGATACACATGAGTGTTTCTGTGGATTTGTTTTTCTAGTCTACCCAGACTAACACACTTGTCAACTTTGTCCTTGGGTAAATGCTGCCCTTTCAATCTCACATGCTTGATTATTCTAAGGAGTGTGTATCTCCCTTGGATTATTGTTCCCCTTATAAACATGTCTATATTACTTAGCTAAAAATTAAGCCACGGGGGTGAGTTCATCTACAGATTTCCAGGTTTGAAAGGTGGCTTCAGTTTACAAATATCTTATCTCTTAAAACTAAACTAAAAACATTTTGAACCTTACCTGGTAGATCTTGGCATCTCTCATCAGTTTTTCTACAGGATACTCAGTATTAAATCCATTGCCTCCAAAAATCTGTACAGCATCAGAAGCCAACTGATTTGCAATATCACCAGCATATGCCTTTGCAATAGAGGCAAAATAGGTGTTTCTACGGCCGTTATCAACCTCCCAAGCTGCTCTTTGGTAACTCAGTCTAGCTAGTTCAACTTTCATTGCCATTTCAGCCAGCATAAAAGATATTGCTTGGTGCTAGAATTAAAAGGATAAAAAGAGAATGGGTAAGGAAGGCATCCTGGTGGCATAATGATTAAGCATTCAACTGGTAACTGTTTAAGGTTGGCAGTCAGGACCCACCCAGTGGGTCCAAAGGAGAAAGAGCCGCATCTGCAAAGATCACGGCAAAGACAACACTATGAGGCACCTCTATTCTGAGGGCACCCAACCGCTCAGCTACTGACCAAAAGGCTGGCGGTTAGAATCCACTCCGAGGCACCTTAGAAGGCCCGCTGAGCTCCTTCACAAAGATCACAGACACAGAAAACCCTAGGGATCATGTTTCTATGACGACACACATGGAATCACCAAGAATTTGAATTGAACTGGATGATGGCAACTGACAATATACAGTAAAGGTACAGCTTTGGGGGGGGAGGGGGGATGGGGGGGCACGCTTAACAAAGTTTGTGGGAAAATTCCATTACCTTCTAATTCAAGTTTTCCAGAATTTTTGAAGTTCTTTCACATTCATGGCAAAAAAGAATATAGAGCAAAATGTTCACTTTGATTATCTTTAGGTAATAAGATTATGGACGAAGATTACTGACCCTTGCAAAACACAGGTTTGAACTACACAGGCCCACTTACATGTGGATTTTATTCCTCCTGGTATTAGTGTGGTGAGCTCAAGTGTTCCAAGTACCCACTAAAAGTGCTCTGATATGCTAATCATCTCGAAGAGCAGTTCACCTCTCCAGCTAGGCAGGGGAGGTTAGCAGCTACCGGACAAACTGCTCACTTGGAAATGATGGCATCACACAGCATTTTAAGCCAACATTCACAACATTTAGCTTGCTGCAAAAGCAGTGGATCCACACAGCTCAAAGGAGAAGCATATATATATATATAATCATTTTATTAGGGGCTCATACAACTCTTATCACAATCCATACACACATCAATTGTGTAAAGCGCATTTGTACATTCATTTTCTCTCCACTTAAACCCCCGGTATTAGGTCCTCATTTTTCCCCTCCCTCCCCGCTCTCCCCTCCCTCATAAGCCCTTGATAGTTTATAAATTGGTATTTTGTTATATCTTGCCCTGTCCGATGTCTCTCATTACCCACTTTTCTGTTGTCCGTCCCCCAAGGAGGAGGTCACATATAGTTCCTTGTAACCGGTTCCCTCTTTCCTACCCACTCTCCCTCTACCCTCCCTGTTTCGTAACTCATACCACTGGTCCTGTAGGGCTCATCTTCCCTGGATTCCCTGGATTTTCAGTTCCTATCTGTACCAGTGTACATCCTCTGGTCTAGCCAGAATTGCAAGGTCGAATTTGAGTCATGGTAGTGGGAGCGGGGAGGAAACATTTAGGAACTAGAGGAAGGTTGCATTTTTCATCATTGTTGCATCGCACCTGACTGGCTCATCTCCTCCCCGAGACCCCTCTGCAAGGGGATCTCCAGTGGCCTACTCATGGGCTTTGGGTCTCCACTCCGCACTCCCCCCATTATTCACTATGGTAAGATTTTTTGTTCTGATGATGCCTTATACCTGATCCCTTCGACACCTCGTGGTTGCATATCTTTATATTTTTTTACATAATCTAAATTACCTTACAATTATCATGGTACAATGGCCCTTCTACATTACAACAATAGAATAATGTACTGATAATTAATAAAGTCTCTTAGGCATTCAGATGGAATACAAAGATGACTAGAAAGGGCTTAACAGATTCGGCAACATCACAATTGGTTTTAAAGACGAAGAAGCTATAAAACCATAAAATCTATGACCAGTGGACAGATTAATATGAATCAAAGTTACAAAACATTAACAGCTGAGTGGTTCAATTTTATATATTTACTATATTTAATAACTAAGAAACAAACTTGTTCACACTGCTTCAGAAGGTGAAAAGTTGTTTTGAGCTTGATAGGCTAATTTGATCTTAAGAGAAATCATAATTAACAAAGGTGAATAACTGCTATGGGCAACTGGGAGAGTAATTTCCACTTTTACTTCTACTTCTCTGAATTGTGCCTATTTTCCCAAGGCAAGATTATGTAAAATATATTTTTATTTAGTTTTTTTCACTTTATTTTTTGAATATGAAGGTAGGTAAAATTGTATTTCCACTACAGCTCTAGTTCAAACATATTTGGTTATATTCTAAACAAACGTGTTTAAACAGGTCTCTGTCATCAGTGGGAGGCAACCGACATGTTCTTTCAGTAAAACATTTTGTCTTGGTTTCATAAGTGTCTTAAGAAAAAAAAAAAGGCCCAAGGAAAACAGTAGCTTCCTAGGGGATCTGTTAGGCTAGTTAAATTCAACTTTGGGGGGTTGAGGCGGGGGGAGACACGAGATTTTAAAGGGGGCGTCTTGAAAGACTTCCTCAAAGGACACTGCATGATCACAAGAACTTAAATATGAAATTTGAAACTACACTGGTGAGAAAAAAGTCAGGAAAGTACTGTTGAGGAATTTTTTTCTATCAGGACAATGAACCTATTCATTTGTGGAAGGTAAAAGGGCTATCCTCAGATGATTCTGTTGGAAACTCTTACTCCATCCACCCTACAACCCCGATTTTGAAAATTCAGATTTATACTGTTCCTAAACCTCAAAGAACATTAAAAGGAACACTATTTAATCCCTCAAGGATGCCAAGACTACATTTTGACATGGTATAGATCAAAGACCACAGAATTCTTCATGAAAGGGTTAGAGAAAGAAATATCAACTTCAGAAGTAGATATACTTAGACGGTCACATGTCAGGAAACAATAGCTTCACATTCTGATGGTTTTGCTTATTATTACAGGTTTCTATGATTTGGTATCAATATATATATATTTTTAACTTAACCCTGTATTTTTCAATAGTTTTACTGGCACATGTTCTACATATCATACATTTTAATAGTTCAATCACATCAAGACGAGTTGTACAATCATCACCACAGTTGATTTTAGAACAGTCTCTTCTTTCTTGTACTCATTTTTCTTAGCTCCCCATTTCTTCCCAACCTCCCTTGTCACACCTCCAAGAAACCATTTATCCAGTCACTGTTTCTATGTACAAAAACAAAGAAAACAACAACAAAATCTAACAATAGCAAAGTCAAACAGAAAAACTTCAATAGAAAAAACGGTACAAACATTAAAACTAGAACTTTAAAATATGTCAAAAGGGAGATAAAATGATAAGGTGTTTAATTTTAACCTAATTGTATCTGCAATAATCCACTTTCCAATGCACGCTGCACATTCCTAGTCTATAACCAGACAAGATTCAGCAGAGGTTCAATCAACATTTCGTTTAAACTAAAACAACTTTTAATTGGGTCAAAAGGGAGACCAAATAAGATAATTACACTTTAACTTAACTACATCTACCATATGACTTTACAATGTTCTCTGTCTGATAACAAAGCTATTCACATCCCTTCACTATGGTCAGAGGTTAACCTTGTATTTAAATAGAATTGCTATGGATTGGGTATAAATGAACTATAAAAGTAAATAAAATGGTTAAGGAAGAAAATAATAATAAATCAAGAGGTTATGTTTGCAAGTCTTACGGGAAATTAAGTGAAGATTTTAAGGAGGCATTCAAAAATCCAAACATGCAACTCAAGGAAGAGAGATGTCAGGGTGAGATATACTCGATAATCATCACCATATGTTTTGTGTATTCAGTGCCACAGAATCATCTAAGGTCACTTAGTCACAAAGTCACTTTCACAATTCCTACTTTACAGACACAGCAGGGTTTTGGGGTTTATGGAATCCTATCAATAAATTAATTTGAAAATGTAGGCTGTCAGTATTTTTTTTTTGGTAATCAGGAGGGAAACAAATCATTAATACCAATCAAAGGCAAAAAAAAGTATTCTGAGTTTTACACAAGACTACAGTTTTTCTATACTTAAAAAGAGTCTTGTAACATATCATCACTGGCTATGATTCCTATGGGACAAGATTCCCCTGATGGGGGAGTTAAAGTTAAAAAATAGCCTTTGGAATGTTAAGCTGCTATAGTACTTGATAAGCAAACCAAAAGCTAATCTCTACGATGCTTCTATAGCCCACTGAAACAATAAAAACTGCTACAGATAAGTTCATTAAAAAGTAAGAGGAAATAAGTATGGCTATTTGCAGAAACAATATACTAAAAAAATTGACAGCATGACAACTTAAGACAACGGGAAATTTTTATTTCAGAATGCATTATTTTTAACTATAATTAAGGGGATAAAAGGAAAACCACATCGAGAAACCATACAACTATGCTAGAAAATACATGGAACTGTAAAATAACATTCACTCCATTACCAGGGTCTTGCATGAAAATATAGCAAAATAACAATCATACATACCAGTTCTGACTGACTTAAAATTTGACTTACAAACACACTTAGAAATGAATTAGATCCCGGGGATTGCCTGAGCTTCCGATACAGGGTGGTTTGGAGAATTAGATAATATATTTTACATGATTATTGAAGCATCAGGTACACAACAGTCACTCAGTGAAACCTCAATGATCTTTGCTTCAGCATAATTAACAATGTTATTGAGGGACCAGTAGTTTGTGGAAGAGTTTAAAGAAAATCTATACTTGAATTCCATCCTGATAGACCACCTTATTTTCTTGTTAACAGGGCAGACATTTAATTTGTAGTTAAAATAATTTCCAAGAACAGGACCTGGTGTCACTTAACATTTCTGTGAAATGAGATATTGTGTGACTGGATTTTATGTAATCACCATATTATTGATAGAGGTTCAAAATTTGTAGAAAAAAAATCCATGATCTTTTTTTTAATCTCTGTTTTTCCACTAACTTTTTGAAACCCCTTGTAAATAAGAAAGAGATGCACATGGTGGTCACTGAGACCCATGATGTCATCACCTGCACTTGTCTGAGGGACTGTAAGAAAACTGGCTCCTTCATTGCCTGTTCTATATGGTCAATGCCCCACTCATACCTTCCCTACTTGGCCTGCACACTCTATTAAGCCAGTCAGTGTTCTTGCTCCTCCCACCACCACAGGCTGGATCGCCTGGGCCACCACTGTGGGAGGAGCCATGTTCTTGAGCCCAGGTACCATGGGCATGGCTTCAGAGGCACACCTTTCAGCAACTCTGGCAGTACCTGTGCAGTTCCTGCCTGACAGTAGGACAGGAAGCCACAGATAGGCTGGGGAACTGGTCCTCTGCCACAGACATCATTTTAAAATCCCATTTCCCATGAACTTTTGCAAGCATCCTTATGCAGGCATACCTCAGAGATATTGAGTTTGGTTCCAGATCACTACAATAAAGTGAATAAAGCCTGTCATAATTTTTGTTTGTTTGTTTGCCAGCGTATACAAGTTATGCTTATATTAGACTGTAGTCTATTACTTATGCAATAGTCTAATACTTATGCAATCAAAATGTGACAGAGACATTTAGTGATCACATGCTGTTGAAAAAAAAGCTACCAATACACTTGTACAACACGACACTGTCACAAAGCTTCAATGTGTAAAAAAACACATTGTCTGTGAAGCACAATCACATGAGGTATGCCTGCACTTAGCAGAGTGTGTCCTCTGCAGTCCAATCTCCCACCACGATTTCTGAATTCTATTATAACCGTATGGGACCACAGATAGATAGATGTATATGCAGTCAAATCTTGCTTGAACAGACATTAAATGACACACACCTATATTTGGATGAAAAAGGTGTCTTTACATTTGAACAAAGCAAGCGCAGTATTTAAATTACCTCCACAAGCTGCTTTCCAAAAGTTTTCCTCTCCAGGGCATACTTAGTAGCTTCATCCAGAGCTCTCTGTGCTAGTCCAACAGCACCAGCTGCCACCTACATTTGAACATTTCACAAACGACAGATATTTAAAACCACATCTCATGTTGTCTTTAGAACATACAGTATGTGGCTACAAAGACAGCCAACAACTTAAAAGGCAACGAGAAAATGTGTGGGTGCAAGCAAACACTTAAATTTATATTATTTATGAATTAAAAACTAATGGAAAACATTTGTGCAAATCTTTTTTTTAATAAATCATTATATTGGGGGCTCTTACAGCAATCCATACACCAAATGTATCAAGTACATTTGTACATATGTTGACATCATTATTTTCAAAACATTTTCTTTCTACTTGAGCCCTTGGTATCAGCTCCTCATTTTTCCCTCCCTCCTCGTGAACCCTTGATAAATTATTATTATTTCTATGTTACACTGTCCGCTGTCTCCCTTTATCCACATTTCTGTTGTTCGTCAATCATTGTAATCAGTTTCCTCTATCTCCCCCTCATCTTCCCCCTCCCCTCCTGGTATCACTCCTCCCATTAATGTTCCTGAGGGTTTATCTGTCCTGGATTCTGTGTGTGTAGAGCTCTTATCTGTGCCAGTGTCCATGCTCTGGTCTAGGCGGATTGCAAGGTCTAGGCTCTAATCTTAAAGATGGTTTTATTCTCTGTTAACATGGAAAAGTTTACTAGGAAGAATAGTCTTGAGGCATGAGGGAAAAGGAAACAAATACATGTCAACAAAAATGACTAAATTTACTAGAAATTAATAATAAATTCCTATTTGTTGAAATGGCTCACAAAAACATGGTCAACATAGAGAGTTGCAGAGTCTCAAACACCCAGAAAGGTAATACCTCTCTACTTCTAATAAACGCAGCATACATTTAGAAAGAAACTGACAAAAATATAAATATAGCAAGCACACCATAGTATAATTGCTATTATTTAATGTAATAAATAAAAAGATCTTATAAAGATTATCAACTCAGATTACTTACTGGAGGTCTGGTTTTATCAAAAGCCCCCATTGCAATCTTGAAACCAGCTCCTTCGCCAATTAAAACATTTTCTTTAGGTACTCTCACATCTTCAAAGACAATTCCTCTTGTATCTGAACACCGTTGTCCCATATTTAATTCCTAACAAGAAAAGCATTCATTCTAAGGAACATTTTTCTGAGCTAGCAACCATTTTTATCTTTAAACATTTTTTTTGTATGTATGTGATTTCTGTAATTGTCTAAAACAGGAGTTGACAAGCCATAAAAAAACATCTGTTTTTGTTTTTAAAAATTTTAAGGAACGCAGCTACACTTATTTAAATTTTGGCCGTGGCTTCTTACTTGTTACAATGGCAGAACTGAATAGCTGTGACAGAGACCGTATGTCTAGCAAAGCCTAAAATATTTATAATTTGGACATTTACAGGTTTGTCTACCCCTGGTCTAAAATAATGCTTTATAAACTTTGAGACTAATAGTAACCAAAAGGTCTACAAACATGAATATTTATAAAGACAAATGTCCTAACGTTTTAAGGCTGGCTTTTTAAGGAACATTTAGCAAAACAGTCTGATCACTATGGTCTAGCTTGAAATACCATGCTGTCTGTAATAGGATATCTACATACCTAAAAGGAAGTCCAGTTAATAAAACTATTATTTAAATCCACCAATCAGTAAAGCTTGTGATGAAGGAAATAAAGAATTCTACCAAATTCTTCACTCTAAACCTGATCATATACGATAATTACTGGAGACTGGGATGCAAAGGTTGGAAGCAAACATGAAGGAGCAGCAGTTGGAAAATATAACCTGGGTAACAGAAACAAAGTTGGACATTGCATAATACCACTGTTGCAAGACAAACGACTTCTTCATTGCAAATACCCTTTAAAAACAACATACATGAAGACTAGATACATGGACTTTGCCAGGTGGAATACACAGGGATCAAACGGATCCATCTGTGGTATGAGATGATGGAGAAATTCGGTATCATCCAGGGGTCAACTGTGAACAGATCAATTGTTAACATGCAAGCTGAGGCTGAAGCTGGAGAAAATTAAAAGAAGTTCATGAGAGCCCAAATATGACCTTGAGTACATCCCACCTGAATTTAGAGACCATCTCAAGAACAGATTTGACACAGCTGTGGGTTGACATCAAGTGTATTATACCTGAAGCAAAATGTTATTAAGAAGGCAGGGGAAAAAAGACCAAAGTGGATGTCAAAAGAAACCCTGAAATTTGCTCTCGAGCCTAGAGTAGCTCAACAAACAGAAGAAAGTGTGTAAAACCTGTATAGAAACTTTCAAAGGGCATCTTGAAAAGACAAAGTTGAGGTTATAAGAAAATTTGCAAATACCCGGAGTTAGTAAATAAAAGAATATATTCAGCATACATCAAGTTGAAGAAAAAAATGAAAAAATTCAGCCTCAAGTTGTAATACTGAAGGATTCCATGGGCAAAGTATTGAATGATGCAGGAAACACCAAAAGAAGATGTAAAGAATACACAGGTCTCTGCACCTAAAAGTATGGATTGACTTTCAACCATTTCAATTAGCAGCATATGTTCAAGAACTAATAGTACTGCAATTGGCAGTCCAAGCTGAATTAGAACTTCTAAGAGCTTCTTAGCTTTAAAACAAGTATCAAGAAAACAATACCATCTGTGTTAGTCTGTGTAGACTAGATAAAAAAATTCACAGACACTCATATGTGAATAAAAAAGAGGTTTACATACAACAGCAACTGACTGTTGAGAAAACATCACAGCCCAGTCCAGATCAAGTCCATAAATCTGATATTAGCCCATATGTCCAATACCAATCTATAAAGTCCACCTCAGACTCACAAAACACATGCAATGACGCCGAATGCAGGAAGATCACAGGCCAGTGGCTTGGAAGTCCTGTGAATCCAGTGGCGTTGTAAGCCTCTCAGCACTCACCAGGGATGCCATCAGGCTGGTTCATGTGGCTTCTCCTCAGGGATGTCTCACAGGGAGTTAGCCTTGTCAGTAGAGAGTGTCCAAGGGAGTCAGCCGAGAGACAGAGAGAGAGAGAGAGAGAGAGAGAGGGAGAGGGGTATCTCCTGCCTCCAAGGAGAAAAATACAGGAGTTCCCAAAATTCTCAGGAGAAGGCCATACCCACACAGAGGCTTCATTCACTATGATTTGATTGACAGACTAGACTCCACCCCTTAACTCTTAACCCTCTCAAATCCCAAATTGATACCAGATTATGTAACTACCACACCATCTACAATAGCCATACAAAAGATTAAATACTTCTAACTAGAGAAACAAAGATTTGTAAAAAGCAAAATACAGAACACTAGTATAAGAAACCTACATAAATAGGAGAGCACACCATATTCATGGATCTCTAAAAAAAACAAAAAGCCAAACTCACTGCCACTGAGTCAGTGCTGACACACAGTGACCCTATAGGACCCTAATCTAAGAAAAGTTAAGTACTTATGATGTGGCCCTGTTTGGTAATTCCCTTCAAGAAATAATCACTGAAGATCTGGGTGCTAAAGAATGGTGAGGAAATCAGATGGTTCCTAGCTAGCAGAAAGAAATAACATCTGGGGTCTTAAAGCAAGCAGCTATCCAAGAGATGTGTCAGGTAAATCCACATATAGAAGCAGCATACCAGCCTGTGTGACCCAAGGATTTTTCATTTACTCTATGATTGGAGGAGGGAATTGAATTAGAGTTTAAATTCTGAGCATCTTGTTGGCAGGGTATAGCACAGTGGGTTACCTGTTGGGCTACTAACATGGTCAGCAGTTCAAAACCACCAGTCTCAGAGGCTTATCCTCATTAAGAGTTTATATCAAAAACCCACAGGGACCCCATCCTACAGGGTCACAGTGAGTCAGAATTGACTCAGTGAAAGCTGAGTTTTGAATAGATGACAGTGAAAGCCCCAAATCCATTTACAGAGTCCCCATGTGGATTAAGTCTCCAAAATATGTGAATAGTCTTCCCCTCAGAGTATATTGCAAAGTGGATTACTTCCATTCCATTGACCAGTCTAGGGAGGGACAATCTCCACCAGGGGCTTACCTGGATGAGTTCTTGATGGGGATCACATGGTCATGAGCCATGCTCTGGCTGCCTTGAGGAAGCCCCTGGACCAATAGTGTAAGCTCTCCTGTCTTACATAATGCCTACGTCCCATCATAGCCCTGATCCCAATCCAGGAGTCCCAATGGTGATTTTTTAAACTGATCTGCTGCCAACTATGTTTATACGAGTCTTCTTTGACCTCCCATGTCCTTTTAAAATCTATGTATCCCAGCAAACCACTGGACACCTTGTGCTAATGGATGCCAGCAAACCACTGTATACCTTGTGCTAATGGTTTCCCCATCCAGATGATATGAATGACTCTAGTTGTCTTTATCTTTATCCTATTTAAGATTTAAGAAATGTTCTCTGTTAGGCAGAAACGGGAGTTGGTGGGGCAAGCAAGTGGAAAAATACCCTGGGCAAGTGAGAAACACTCCAAAGGTGTTGCAAAAAACCAAGCCTCGCCCTCCCCTTCGGTAACCATCCAAATCCAGATGCAGTAGGCTAACTACTGCAGATAACATTGATGCTTAGTTCTGGCTTTGCAGACAGCCAAATATCGCAATGGAAAATTCCCTAGCTACTCCCTCCCCAAGATCCAGACTATAAAACTCTTCACCTTTCAACCAGACAGCGCGACTTCTCAGGTCCCGTATAGGGACCCGTGAACCTCACCCAGGAGCACTGAAATAAACCTTTAAAACTATTTTCTGTCTTTGCCCTTTTTCTTTCGCCAAAATTACCTTACATTATATATATATAAAATGTCTAGCCTCTTAAATTGTGAAGGAATACATTTCTGTTTGTTAAAGCCATCTACTTGTGGTATTTCTGATTCAGCAGCACGAGATAACTAAAGGCAATGCCTGCGTAATTATTACCATTATTTACTGAATCACATAAGAAGTTGCAGACATTGGGACCTTTTTCCTTAGGGGGAAAATTTTTATATCTCATTTTTTTACTATGCATAGTATAAGGCAGGGGGGAGAGGCACATAGCTGTAAAATAGTTCTTTAATTTATTTACTTTAACATTAAGAATCTGCTTGTGTTTGAAAAATTGGGAGATAATAATGTAATGTTTAACCAGAAAGAAACCAACAGTCCTTTATTTTGATTTATACAATTCTATAAAGTTGAAATCTCATTTAGAAACAATGAAAAATGTTTCCTTTTAACTAGTCCCCCAGCTTCATCAAGCCCACATTTAAATGCTTCTTGAATTCATTTCAACCCATTTAATTTCCAAAACACACTTTCAAATCCCTCAAATCTCACCAATTTGTTGTAAAGTGCCCATTTGTTGAAATTAAAGGAGGCTTAAATACAAGATGCCTGCAAACAGTTGGTGGGAAACTTTATTATTTTTGAATTCTAATTTTTCCATAAACTTTTTGAAGCCCCCACATATCATCTATCTTCCTTACTACAAAATAAACACATCTCAAGGGCAGAGAATTTTATCTGTTTTGATTCATATATTATTCCTAGCACCTAGAATACTGTTTAGCATATAGTATGCATTCAGTAATAAATGTTTGTTGAATGAGAGTTTGGTTTTTTTAAGTGAGGAAATTGAGTAGGAAGAACACAGGAGTTAAAAAAGCAAGATAAAAGTCAGGAATATATTTCCCATCAAAAAAAGTGTAAGGTGTTAGCTCTTTTTCACACTTTCCAGAAGTGGGCCACAACTTGACTCTATTTTCCCAACCATCCCTAGAAAAGATACATGGCCTGTTATAGAAATAAAAACAAAATGATTGCCTGAAAAAAGCATAGGTATTCTCACTGACTCAGTATTTACATTTTGCTTTATGTCAAATCTCATTGATTTGTACATTGCAGTGCATCCTTACTATATACTCTTCAGAAGACAATGCAGCATAATATACCTACTCTTCACGTAGCCACACAGTTAATTGACAAACACTGTCACTGAGAATCAGCATTCTACTAAAAGGGAATATCAGATGAGATCACAAAATGACAATGACAACATCTTACATAACTGCCAACTCTACCTCCAACTATGCAAGCTCAACAAATCACTGTG